CCTTCGGCGCTAGGCATTTGCTGCTTGAATTGTCTGGATTTTGCTGCCGTCTACACAGTAAAGGTTGGCTATAATGTAACCACTGCTGTTTTTGAGAATGATTTATGGTTGTGCTTCAGTCTCTTCTTCGGTGCCCCCCCCCCCCCCCCCCTACCCACCCCCACCAAGACAGCACTAAAAACGCCAAAACATAAAGATCATCTTATGCAGCGCATTAGACAGATTTGCCCAACAGTTTAATGATGTAACTCACGAGGAAGAGAAAAATGCAGGAGAAAGAGAAAGACCAGGCGTGCACACACACACACGCACACCTGCACAGGTGCTAGAAAGTTTGTACACTGCACATTAGCGTTATTTTATCTGTGGGCAGATACTGGAGCACTTTTGCATATCCGTGTTCACAGAAAGTAACCCTGAACAAACAAACAAACAAAATGAAAAACACACGGGGCGCCATTTTTAGACTTACCCATGCTGTCATCGGGCGCCCTAATATAACCAAACGTTTGAACGGGGTTCCTGAGATTTGCGCTTGGGGATTTTCATCTGAATGGTAGCACTTTGCGTCACTGGCTCCTTGTGCGGTTCCGATGGAGTTGAAAGTCACCCACTCATGCACTGTACTCTACACACTGTCGTGGAAACATTACAAATACAGAGGTTTTTAAAAGTGGGAGTGATAATACGTTATTTCAAGAAACAATTGAAATGTATTTGCCAAATTAAAAAACGTAACACTTTAAAAAACCATACTGGAGGGACAAGTTGTAGGCAGTCGAGCAAGATACAAATGGAAGAACAACCTGAAGAGGTAGACAGCAATACATGTGGGAGAGAAGCATAAAGATCTAGAAAGTGGTACAACTGGGAAGATGGCATTAAAAAGAGGATAGTTTCGAGAAGTAGCGATGCAAGTGGGAGTATAGCGATACACGTGGGAGGATAGATTTAAGAGACGGGCGACGAACAGCTTAATAGAGTGTACAACCAGAGTGAGAGACAGAGTTCCACTTATCAGTTGCAGTTAACATTCATTGCCAAGATGGTACAAACTTGCTGGGGAAAATACTCACGAATTCGATAGTTTAAGACTTTCTTTTTCCAGTTACCTCAGCGTTTAAAAAAAGGGAGGGCATAGTTTTTTTAACTAATGTACTGTACACTCATTACATGTCATGCAAAAGCTGACACACTTGTTTATGAATGCGCATGTGCTCACGCATGTCATTTGTCTAGACACTTTTGTCGTGGTCACGATGAGCATATTTGCGTGTGCCTATTTAAGTGACACATGGGGCATCAACTCTGTACATGTCGCTAAAGGCATATCTGTCAGATACCTCTTTTGTCAACTGTGTGACTGTGTGTCTGTCCATCTGACTGGCTGCCTGAGTGACGTATCGATCTTTGCATGTATATGTATCTCTCTACCTCTCTTTCTTTTCCTCTTGCCTGTCTGTTTCATTCTCTCTCTCTCTCTCTCTCTCTCTCTCTCTCTCTCTCTCTCTCTCTCTCTCTCTCTCTCTCTCTCTCTCTCTCTCTCTCTCTCTCTCTCTCTCTCTCCCCCCTCCCCCACCCTTGTCTTTCCCCCCTTTATCCATGCTATGCTTTCACTCACTGACATTCCTATCTAACTTGCTGTCTGCGCTGCCTGTCTGCCTTCTGCCTGTCTGTCTGCCGCTTTAAACACACACACACACACACAAGCACACACACGCGCGCGCGCACTCGCACAAGCACACACACACGCGCGCTCGCAAACACACATACATTGACACACACCCACGTGCACAAGCACACACGCGCGCGCACACACACATTCACACACACACACACGCACGCACGCACACGCACACAGCCATTTGTAAAAAATCTAAATTCATATTTATATTTTCTGGTCTAAACCCCGAATTATAGCACACGACATCAATTCGCATGCATTAATTATCAGGCAAAGTGAGGTAACAAAAGAAACAAAGTCTAGAGTTTACACTAGAAAGCTAAAATTGGAAAGTAAACTTGAGCCTGCAACTGGGCTGTAATTTAGGATACACGGTTGTGCCTTGTAGCCAGCCGGCAACCGTTGCCGCAGTGGCACGCATAACACACTTCACAAATCAGTCACCAGATTCACCACTGAATCGATTCATAATTGTTTCCTAGCAGTGGAAAGCATTACATACTTCACAAACTAAAGCCAACAAATTACTACTTACAGTGTGTTTCAAAAGTTGTGGCCTCCCACTTAAACAAATATCTCGAAAAACTCATGTTCGGGTCAACATGAATCGTTGCATGGGGCCTTAGATTGCCCATGTCCTTATGATTTTATAATTTACAGTTGCTGCTGTTTTCTTAAATCTGTGAATTTCTTTGCTTGACTAATAATTTGTTCACCCCTACAACTATTATATACAGTAATTGACACATGCATGGAGATTGTTTGGAAATTGGACCTCAGAACTGATACTGGGAGATTTACTGTTATAAACCAGTGTTATTGACTACCACACTCACCACCAATGTTACTGACCACCCCTCACAACAACAGTCCCCCGTGTGGGTTCCGGGGCCCCATTGTGGGGAAAACAAGAATAGACCCACTGCCTCCCTAAAAGCATGTCGTAAGAGTCGACTAATTGGGAAGCTTCCTTTGAAGTCGGAGTGCATCTGCCGGAGAGGCAAGGAACCAACAGTCTGTATTCAAGAGAATGAGATCTGTAAAACTGATGCACACGCAACACTCAGGTTCTGGAGCAGGACTGCAGTTCAATAGTGGACGAGCAACCAGAACCTTCCGCCAGAGTTTACAGCTGGTGAACGTGAAGAAGAAGAAAAAAAAGAACAACAACAGTGTTATTGACCACCCCACACAGCACCAGTATTATTGACCACCCCACACAACACCAGTGTTATTGACCACCCTACTCACCACCAGTGTTATTGACCACTCCACACACCACTAGTGTTATTGACCACCCCACACAACACCAGTGTTATTGACCACCCTACTTACCACCAGTGTTATTGACCACCCCACACACCACCAGTGTTATTGACCACCCCACTCACCACCAATGTTATTGACCACCCCACTCACCACCAGTGTTATTGACCACCCCACTCACCACCAGTGTTATTGACCACCACACACACCACCAGTGTTATTGACCACCCCACACAACACCAGTGTTATTGACCACCCCACACACCACCAGTGTTATTGACCACCCCACACACCACCAGTGTTATTGACCACCCCACACAACACCAGTGTTATTGACCACCCCACACACCACCAGTGTTATTGACCACCCCACTCACCACCAGTGTTATTGACCACCCCACACACCACCAGTGTTATTGACCACCCCACACACCACCAGTGTTACTGACCTCCCCACACATCACCAGTGTTATTGACCACCCCACACAACACCAGTGTTATTGACCACCCCACACACCACCAGTGTTATTGACCACCCCACACACCACCAGTGTTATTGACCACCCCACACAACACCAGTGTTATTGACCACCCACACAACACCAGTGTTATTGACCACCCCACACAACACCAGTGTTATTAACTACCGCACACACCACCAGTGTTATTGACTACCGCACACACCACCAGTGTTATTGACTACCGCACACAACACCAGTGTTATTGACCACCCCACACAACACCAGTGTTATTGACCACCTCACACAACACCAGTGTTATTGACCACCCCACACAACACCAGTGTTATTGACCACCCCACTCACCACCAGTGTTATTGGCCACTTCACTCGCCATCAAATGTCTAATGCTGTTTAAAGATATAGGACTTGCACCATATGCCAGATGTGCCTCATTCATGGAAAGCACTCACATACACACACACATGCGCCCACACACATGTACATGCAAACACATGTGCACACACACAGATGCATATGCATGCAGAAATAATAAACATTTGAAATTAGTAAAACGGTACATGGAGGAGTCACTCTCATGTTGGAGACCCAGGTTCAAATCCCATCTAAGGTTGGTGATTTTGTTCTGCCATTAAAAGAAAGACAAAAATCTTAACCTGCACAGTCCATGGCAACAGCATAGGGCACAGTCCATGGCAACAGCATAGGGCACAGTCCGTGGCAACAGCATAGGGCACAGTCCGTGGCAACAGCATAGGGCACAGTCTATGGCAACAGCATAGGGCACAGTCCATGGCAATAGCATAGGGCACAGTCTATGGCAACAGCATAGGGCACAGTCCGTGGCAACAGCATAGGGCACAGTCCGTGGCAACAGCATAGGGCACAGTCCGTGGCAACAGCATAGGGCACAGTCCATGGCAACAGCATAGGGCACAGTCCATGGTAACAGCATAGGGCACCGTCTATGGCAACAGCATAGGACACAGTCCATGACAACAACATAGGGCACAGTCTATGGTAACAGCATAGGGCACAGTCCGTGGCAACAACACAGGGCACAGTCTATGGTAACAGCATATGGCACAGTCCGTGACAACATCATAGGGCACAGTCCATGGTAACAGCATAGGGCACAGTCCGTGACAACAGCATAGGGCACAGTCCATGGCAACAGCATAGAAACACAGTCCATGGTAACAGCATAGGGCACAGTCAGTGGCAACAACATAGGGCACAGTCCATGGTAACAGCATAGGGCACAGTCCATGACAACAACATAGGGCACAGTCCATAGCAACAGCATAGAAACACAGTCCATGGTAACAACATAGGGCACAGTCCATAGCAACAGCATAGGGCACAGTCCATGGTAACAGCATAGGGCACAGTCTATGGCAACAGCTTTAGCTATGCGGCCCTAAATCTTCAGACTCAAAGCCGCCCCCCCCCCCAAAAACACACACACACGCACACATGCGCAGCAAACTACACCGTAGAAGCTGTAAATACAGGTGGTAATGGCAGTTTGAGTTTGATAAGGTACATGAAATGAATGCTTATTCTTACAGGAGAAAAGTTGGACCAGAAACAATGTGAATGCCTTGAAGAAGTCTTGAGAAGGGTACAGTTTAAAATTCTGGACTTGGAAGCCAGTCATCTTGATGATGAGGTAAGCTGAAGTGCATGTCATAAGTCAGTGATTTGTTGTTAAAGGCAAGGTCACAGTGTTTGTTGTTAAAGACAAGGTCACGTTGTTTGTTGTTAAAGGCAAGGTTAGTGTGTTTGTTGTTAAAGACAAGGTCACGTTGTTTGTTGTTAAAGACAAGGTCACGTTGTTTGTTGTTAAAGGCAAGGTGACAGTGTTTGTTGTTGAAGGCATGGTCACAGTGTTTGTCATTAATGATAGGGTGACAGTGTTTGTTGTTACTGGCAGGATGATGGTGTTTAAAACAGTCAGGGTTCCCAGTTGGGTTATGTTTGTTTTGGGGGAAATACATGGTAAGAATCAACTAATTGGTAGAGGGGTGGGGGGGGGGGGGGGAGGTCTCCTTAAAAGTCAGAGTGCATCTGCCTGAGAGGCAAGGAACCAGCAGTCTGCATACAGATAAACAAGATCTGTAAAATGGATGTGTACCGAAAACTCAAGTTCTGGAACAAGACTTGAATACATAAGTGGATGAACAATCAAATTTTCCTGCTGGAGTTTACAGCTGGTGAGTGCGAAGAAGAACAGGAAATAATAATGGTTGAAGACTGTTTTTGTCTCTGGTTTCTTCATTGACATCTATTGTTGCTGCTACATCTGTTATATTGTGCATGACACCAATTTATTCAGTAACTATTTTGGTAATTCACTTTACTTTGCAACAAGCAAATCTATGGATGATTAAGCCGCTCAGGCAGAAGTTGAAAGATGTGTGTGCTGACTGATTATGAACACACATTAAAAAATTGCTCAGTTTCTGCTTAAAACGTTTTAGTTCTGCCACATCAGATTGTCATATATTGAGGTCTTCATAACTCCTTTATAGCTTATTTTGACATGTCATTCCCTGTTGGCCAAATTTATTCTGCTTACAAAAGCTGGGATAAGATGTGCTTCTAAAATACAAAATGTAAACACTGTGAGCCAAATTGGAAAACAAATAATTTCCAAATTTAGCTCTAGCGCCACTTTGGAAATAGGAGGTGGGGGGGGGGGGGGGGGGTGAAGAAGAGATAATAGACCTACAGTCGCTTAAAAAGCAAGAAGTCATTAAAAGTGTATATTAATGGTTTTCTTAAATTGTATGTGTTAATCCAAAAGGTGCAGGTATCACACATACTAGCTATAGGCCACATCACAATACCCTTTTAAGAGTAATCACAGAAGAAGAAGAAGAAAAAGAAAAAGAAGCTGAGCTTGTAGATAACAAACTGACATGAATGTTGCTGAAAACAGCATTGTTGTAATACTCAAAACACATCCACACTAAAGATACCATCTGACAAAAACAGGCTGTCTCACAGTGTTTAGCTATCTACTAATGAACTATTTGCCCGGCTCTCTAGCGTAGTTGGCTAAAACGAATTACGCTGTGACCAACTCCTTGTGGTCTGGGTTCACTCCCGGGGGTAGGCAGAAAAGCCACATTTCTCCCAGATTTACGGTATTTACAATGGATTCAAGGTCAAAAGGTTGCGATATCCATAATAACGAGCCTAAGGGTTAACAACTCATGGCTTCTGGATACTAAAACAAACATGAACTGTTTAACTGTTTACTAATGAACTAATCTCTAAAGTGTGGTGTCATGATTCTATCACTGTTTACTTTATTAAATTAGCACACTTTTATAAATGCAGCTAAAACAACTGATAACAAACCTAATAATAGTATCAGCACTGGGTTAAGACACATATTGCATCAGCCAAGTATATTCGGTATGTCTGCATCTCTCCATGTTTTGCTCCTGACTACAAACCCAGTGTATGTCCTAGCTCATTAGTATACTGTCTGTGTTCATCAGCTTTGGGTATATTGGCTTGTTTTGTAGCCTGTTATGGCATTAATCTTGATGACAAAGTGATTGAAATAAACACTTCTAACACAAGTTACTCCCAGTGAGGGTTCTGGGACTCCATTCTGTTGGAAAAGAATAGACCAGCTGCCTCCCTAACAAATATTTTGTCAAAGGCGACTTATTAGATGAGTTCCCTTTGAAGTCGGAATATATCTGCCTGAGAGGAGAGGAACCCACAGTTTGCATACAATACAAATAAGCCAAATCTGTAAAATGGATGTGCACACAAAACTCAACTTCTGGAACAAGATCAAAGTCGAGAAATGGATGAGCAACCAAAGTTTACAGCTGGTAAACGCTAAGAATAAGAAAAAGAACTAAGTGACACAACATGTAGATGATAAATTTTCCAATATTGTTTCTCCCCTGGGATACAGTTGATAAATTGTTGTCCCAGTTGTTTCTTTTCTCGGATGCAACCTTTGACACCTAGTTTCTGAACCACAGTACTGGAGGTGTATGAAATTGTTAAATGCATTCACTAACCTCCACGCCATAGACCTGCTTGAAGTTAGTGATTCCTAAATGAATCACAAAACATGCACATTGAAACATTTTCACTTTTCTTATTGAACTGTGATTGTTGGGCAGGTACATGGATCATAATTTCCATAGAGATCAGTTTTTGTTTGTGGGCACTGATATTGATTGATTTCCCTTGTCAGGTTTCTATTTCTAGTTTTGCTGATTATATTATGGAGGTTTGTGTTGTATTGTAGCAAATATTCTGTAATAGGATTTGTCAAAGAGAATTCCAGTTTAACCAATGTGAACAAAAACACCTGATATGTTCTTAACTTTCTCTGTTTGAGTTCCATGGCCCCATTTAGAGGGATTGAAAAGGATAGACCTACTGCACCCTAGCAAGCATGTTGTAAAGGTCGATGATCAGGGATGTTACCTTTGAAGTCAGAGTGTGTCTGCCTGGATGTGGGGAACCATATTCAGAATTGTTGATCTTCACAGTCATAAACTATGTTCATATTTTTTTTGCCCCAGCTGTCTGTCAGCGACTTGTTTACCCTGAATAAGAATTTGTTCGTTCAATCCTTTCTTACGACATATATTAAGCCTTCCTAATTGGTGATACTTATTCACTTTGTCTGTCTAAATGCTTATTTATGGTCTACTTGTACATTTATAGATGTCTGATTTCTTATTTCTTTGTCCTGCAGCACTAGCAGTATCTATTAGTTTACCTTATTGTGTTCTTTGTCTTATCTGTTCCTTGTCTTTAAACAGTTATAAATAGTAACTGTCCATGACACCAGAAGAAGAACAAACAGTTTGTTTATTAGTCGAAGAGTGCTTTGGGCTGGATAAACTGATATAGGGCTTACAGAATGGCTGGTTTAGTATTGTGCTGACAAACACAAAGCAGTAGTTTGAAAATAGCAATTTGTGTTTTGAGTATAATAGCACACATATAAAGTAAAATACTTAAAAAGAAAACTTTTGTATTAGAGTTGGTCATTTATATCCAGAAATATCCATTACTTTTTCTTTTTCGCACCTTCCAAACAACGAGGCCCCATAACCCACACATGGAACTGCTGTTGCTGATTGGTTTGATTTAGCAGCTAAAGTTTGTCACAGGATGAGGTAGCTAATCTGATACCAGCCATTCCTAATCATCTCACTCAATATTTATAGAATGTCACTGTTGTTTGCTTTCCTTGTTGTCTCCAGTAACACATGGGCAGGAACTCATTCACTGATGGATTTTAAACACACATGATGTTAAAAAGGGACCCTTTTCCATGCCCTTAGAAACATTGTATGTATAGTTAGTTAGTTAAGGACCCTTTTCCAATCCTTTAGTCGTATAGGGCATATAGGGCTAGACATGTTTTATAGACCAATCGGCACAAGATAGGTGATCTGGTCAGCATTACGCCGACCACCTTTACTTCCTGTGACTGTACCCGGTACCCACTCAAGCCCAGGTCAACCTGGAAGCCAAGGTCATTTTTGAAAAAAAAAAAAGTCCAGCTCTGCCAAGGAGCAAACCCATGACCTTCCGATTTGCAGGCGAGCGCCCTGCCACTCCGCCACCGCGACTCCCCATGTGCATAGTGCTAGACCTATATTTTATACACCAGTCAGAAATTGATGGGTGATATGGCTAACGTCACGCCGACTGCCTTTACTTTGCAGATCTTTACGTGGTACCCATTTTATGGTAATTTTTGAGAACTCTGACTTAATGCGGATTTTAACCTGTGACATGTGCGGCCCAAGCACAAGCATGTAGCTGCTACACAACAGCACTCTCAAACATGATGCCGCAGAATGAATTTATTGACATTTCTTTGTCTTGAGGTGTGTTTACAATTTCAGCTGCTGTTTCTGAAATGTCAACACATGTTTTTCATGATATTTTGATATTTGAGTAACGTAATGCTTATATGTATGTGCTTAGGGTTCAGTCCCCACAGGTGGCAGGGTTGTTTCTGACTGGAACAGCTCTGGGATCTCAACCCACCTCATAAAAGTGGGTTCCAGATCATTTCCGCAGTTTTCCTGAACATTGTTGCTGCTGGCGATTTATGTGGGTTGATGAGTTGATTCTCAGCACCCATCAAGGCAGATACCAGCAATGCTGTAGTTGGTCTAGCTTTCCTGTGTGATGGTCTGCAGATTCCAGGGGTTCCACTGAAAATTTTTTTAAATATCATTTACAAAAAACTCAGTTTAAAATACATTCCTTTTTGTATTGATAAATTGTAATAAGTTCTTTAGTCTGGCTGTTAGAACCGCCATGCCTGTTCCTTGTCTCTATTTTGGAGAACAAAGAAGAGATTCACTGTCTCCCTAACAATCATGTCAAAAGAAGTGGCCAATTAGGGGTGTTCACTTTGAAGTTAGAATGCATCTGCCTGAGAGGTGAGTAACCAACAGTCTGCATACAAGTATACCAGATATGTTAAACAGATGCGCACTCAAAACTCAAGTTCTGGAACAAGGACAAAGTCAAGAAGTAGATGAACAACTTTCTGTTGTAGTTCAAAATGAATGAATAGAAGTATGGCTCCATGGCAGACCTTAAAAAAACAAGTGCTGGTGAGTCTTAGCTAACTTGAACCACTGTAGTAGGTTTCTGTTAGTAATGCCATGTTTTTGTTTCTCTTCCCTAGTGTGCAGTGGCTCTGTTTGATATGATTGAATACTATGAGTCTGCCTGCCAGCTGAACATCTCCTTCAACAAGAATATCCAGGCCAGAGGTTGGCAAGCATGCTCCCGGCTTGTAAGAAGGGTGGGTGTCAGTGTCTTGTCATTGTCTTATCATCCCTGTGTGGGCTCTGGGACCCCATTTGGAGAGAGGGAGGGGTAGAACAGACCCACTGCTCCCTAACAAGCATGTCAAACAAAGTCACTGTCTAGTGGTGTATCCTTCGGAGTTGGAGTACATCTGCCTGTGAGGTGAGGAATCAACAGTCTCATACAGACAAGTCAGATCTGTAAAATAGATGTGTGTGCAAAACTCAAATTCTGGAACAAGATCAAAGTCCAGAATTGGACTACAAACAGAAATTTTATGCCGAAGTTTACAGCCCATGAGCAAGAAGAGGAATCACGAAGAAAAACAGAATTATTCACTATTTTCCAGTGAGAGGCCAAAGCTGCTGAATTCCATCCATGACATAGAACTGATTGCGCGGGGCCGAATGGGATGGATGAATAGGCTGTGAGTCCTGTGTGACATATAATCGCACAACAGAATAATGACTGAATGAATTTTTCAGTGAATCAGTGTGTCGTCGGCAGAAGTGTCTTTTACATAAATGAATTTGTACAGCAACAAAGAGACCATTGTCAGCATCATCATCATTGCCCTGTTATGCCATTATATATCACATAGGGCTCTCAGTATATTTCTCCATTACATTCTGTAACAATCTGTTCAGTGCAGTCCCTTCAGTATTGTAGATGGAATCCAGTCCAGCAGCTTTGAATTGTGATTGCCAAACCACAAAATGGTAAATTACATAGATGATAAAATCACATAGATGATAAAATCACATAGATGATAACATCACATAGATGATGTCTGTGTTAACAAGAAATTCAGATCATTTCTGCACAGTACAAACATTCTTGCAAGTGTACATGTATATTCAAACATTTATACAGGTGCACATATGTATTCAAACTAGGGCTTTACCGAATAGTGATTTTCATTATTTGGCCGAATACGAATAATGGGAAAAACTATTCGGCCGAATACGAATACGAATAGTGTATAGTGTATAAAATATACCTAAAACAAACACGCACACACACATTCATAATGTAAAATGTACGTTGAACTTTTACTTCACAAAAAGTAGTACAGAATAGTCATCTTCTACTTTAGCATTCTGAGCCCTTGAGGTTTACTGCTGCAGATATAACTCGACTCAATTTTATCTCTCTGGCTGGCCTTCTCTTCACAATTTGTGACACAAGTTGTTTGCAGGTCTGGCTGGACATTATCTCTCGAACTTTTTTTTTGTCTGCGCCCCTTCCTTTCTCAGGTGTGTACAGTTTTACTTCTGTGTCATCTGACAGTCTTTCAAAATGCCCCTACCATTTTAGTCAGTTAGCTTTCATGATGCCAGTGATTAATGGTGATTTAATCAGATTATGTGTTACGTTGTTGCTTCTCACTCTCCAATCCCCGTTTTTAGAATCTTTGATGGGTCCAAAGATTTGTCGTAAGACTGTTTTCGAAAACCTGTAATAAGGTCTCATCTCTTTTATTTCTGCTTCAAGTTTCAGAGCCATATAAAACGACTGGTCTTATCAATGTTTTATATATTTTGATTTTGGTGTTGTGAGACAGACACTTTGACTTTAGCAGATGTTGAAGGGCATAGAATACTTTATTTCTAGATTGTATTCTAGATTGTATTTCTTCTCTCAGCGTGTTGGAGCACCCAAGTACTTATATGTTTCCGTTCGTTTGATTTATATATTATCGACTTGGATGTGGCCGGAGTTTATATTCTTTTCATGTCTAGTTAGTATTCGTACAAAATAGTAAACATTTAAAAACATTTTATGTTTTGCATCCTTCAGTCAGTCTGTGGTAACTAATAACTAGGAATGAAAGAATCCTAAGTATTATAACAAATAATTAAACTTGGAAATTGTCACTGACAGCTTAGTTAATGAAGGAAAGCTGCATTAGCTTTCAACAAAACTAATCGTTCCATGTTGTCAGCATTAAGGTCGTGTATGCAGAAGAGAGTGTAAGGTAACTACTATTCGTATTCGGCCCGACCGCAACTATTCGGCCGAATACCGAATAGTCAGTAGGTGCACTATCGGCCCCGAAGCAAATATGAAGCGAATATTCAGTACAGCCCTAATTCAAACATTTATACAGGTGTACATATATATTCAAACTTTTATGCAGGTTTACATATGGATTCAAACTTTTATATAGTTGTACATATATATTCAAACTTTTTTTACAGGTGTACATATAGATTCAAACATTTATACTGGCGTTCACATATATTCAAACTTTTATACAGGTGTACATATATATCCACTGTTTTAAACAGGTGTACATATATTCAAACATTTATGCAGGTGTACATATATATTCAGATAACCACTTGCTAAAAGTAAATTAAAACAATATGCCCTACCTGTAAATTTATAAGGTTAAAAACAATTTATTGCCTGGCATCCATACCTACCATATATTAAAATCCATAATGAGAAAGTTGAAAATGTCACAGACTTTAATATCTAACCTCAGTGTTGAGATCCTTGTGACTTTCCTTTAGCAACCACAGGAGTATTTTCTCACTTTTTATTCATGACTCGAAGATAATCCTCCTTGTTTTTTATTTGCCTCTTTTCACATGATACAGTGTTACTATTCTTTGCTTTCTTAAGGGCTTTCTTTAATGATGCCTGGTTTTGTGCTTTTTACAGAGCTCTTGGGCAAATGATCATTCTGCAGATAGACCTTGCTATGTCATCTCATGTCCTTTACAAACGTTGTTGTTATCACGGCATGTCTGAAAACCTTTTTCTCTAGCCAATTCTCTAACGGTATGGGCTTTCATAGCCAGTGCATCTTTAGTGTCTTGTATCTGACTTTGTGGAAGGCTCCCTAACTTTTTTCATGAACCCACCCGTCATCACTGTTCTCTGCAAGCCACCTTGACGTTCAACACGGCCAAAATTATTCAGCTTTTGGGACAGAAAGCTGTTTATGAGCCAGTTCTCCTCGATGCTCGGATCATATAAGGGGATATTACTCTGTGGAGTGAAATTGATTTTCTCACTTCTAAACACCCTGTTTTATTTGTTTTCTCTATGACAGACTCCCAACCTGACATACCTGGATGTGAGAAGCTGTGACCTTAACGACCGCAACATTCCAATATTTGGACGAGCACTAAAGCTGGGTTGTCATCTGACAATTCTTCACATGGAGAGTATGAACCTGTCTGGGAGGCCTCTGGTGATTTTAGGTAGGTAGCTTTTTATATTGGGAGACTCAGGTTTGAATCCACTGTAAGATTGGAGTTTTTGTTTCTGTCGGGGGCAAAAATAAAATGCTTGCTCTGTAGTCTATGGCAAGAGCACTAGCCATGCTGCCATAAATCTTCAGGCTCAAAGACCACCCCCCCCCCATTCCCCCCCCCCCCCCAACCTGCCTACACTGCAAAAGACAGTAAACTAAATTAACTCCTCTCTGTGATTCTTCATGGCATAAGGAGTAGGTCAAAAGAAGAAGAAGAAGAAAAGAAGATCAATGTTAGATGAGTAAAGTGGTGAGTCGGAAACATGCTAGCTGTCTTTACTTTCCAGAACATTTCCTGATGCCCATTTTAGGCTGGATCAAATGTAGGTCAGTTTAAAAAGAAGTCTAAGCCTCAAAGAGGGTTTGAGCATGTGATCACCTGAACCGACTGGCTTGTGAGCATGCTATCTGGTATACTTCCTCGCCTTGAACAGTACATAGCATCCTAAAATTCATGCTCTGTCTTTCATAGACAAGGATTTAGGTTTAGACTACGAATCAACATCATAGCACAAGGGTAGTAACCTATAAGTGCTCCGTTCTATTTCTGTCTCAAGCCTGAGTCGGAAGAATCTCATCGCAGTGCATGAACACAGTGCATGAACTCTGTAGCACAGGCAAGGATCCTGAAATACTTTGGGTAGATTTTTAACTCAAAATTTTACCTGGGCAGCACCATTAGGCTACTCTTTTTTGATTTCCAACTGCCAAGGGATTTTTTTTTACGTGCTCAGCAATACACGTGGGCCAGAGACCAGGCGAAATTACTAGAAGTCCAAGTAAAAAATCCCAGCCTTAACCCAGGACCTCCAACATTCGAGGCGGACGCCATGTCTCGAAACCCAGGGCAAGGATTTATAACACATAATATTTTCATCTTATGCCTTCACTTTGGTTATTCTGCCTATTATCTCTGCGTAGCTATTTCTGTGCTTCTCCTTTTCCTCTTTTACTATTTTTAGTATTGAAGAAGAAAGCCACCTGGTATAGCGGCTAGATGCTCGCCTCAAGCCTGAAGATCATAGCTTCAAATCTAAATCAAATCTGAAATTATTCAAAAATTACTATGGCTCCCAGGTCAGCCTAGTCTAAAATTGGTACCAGGTGAAGTCCTGAAACGAAAAGATGGTTGGCGTGATGCTGACCACATCACCCACTGATTGGTTTATACAATACAAGTCTGGCACAACCACAATATACCCAATATGCCTAAGTGGGTGGGAAAATGTCTTAACAAATTTATTTATGACAAAGAATATACAAGGTTCTGGTTCTTACTCGTCTGGCCACCATAGACACTTGATACTGTTGTAGTTTCTCTGTCTCCCAAAATGTTCTCACTTGATACTGTTGTAGTTTCTCTGTCTCCCAAAATGTTCTCACTTGATACTGTTGTAGTTTCTCTGTCTCCCAAAATGTTCTCACTTGATACTGTTGTAGTTTCTCTGTCTCCCAAAATGTTCTCACTTGATACTGTTGTAGTTTCTCTGTCTCCCAAAATGTTCTCACTTGATACTGTTGTAGTTTCTCTGTCTCCCAAAATGTTCTCACTTGATACTGTTGTAGTTTCTCTGTCTCCCAAAATGTTCTCACTTGATACTGTTGTAGTTTTTCTGTCTCCCAAAATGTTCTCACTTGATACTGTTGTAGTTTCTCTGTCTCCCAAAATGTTCTCTGATTTTGCTCTCATTAAGCCTAGATATTTGAATTTTTCTAATCATATACATTAAGATGAATATAATTATGTTTCCTCTCCACCGTGCAACAGTAGCATCTCTTTCTCTCTCTAGTTGTACACAAGCGATAAACACCCGGTGACACAAAGAGCCACCATGCAGATGAGGATCATTCATGGAGAGGTCCCAGAAACCCCTTTCAGCCGTTTGTCCATATTTATTGCTCGGCTACAATAGCATCTATTTCTATGTTTCTGGTATCCTAAGTTTGGTGTTTCTGGAAATTGGTTTGTCCTGAAACATGAAACAAGTATTTTTAGCAAATATTTAAATTTTTAAAATGATAACCAGTGTAACTGAGGAGGGGATGAAAATAATGACAAGGTAGAAAGAACAAAAGTAATTCTGTTTTTTAATTGCAGTTGCAAACTGTGATTTATTTGATAAATTGTATTTTTTTAAAAACAAATCAGATAATTCTAAGAAAATTTTGCTTTGTTTTTAACAGTTGCAGCATTAAAGATGAATGAAGTGCTTCAAGAGCTGTTTTTGGCAGATAACAAGCTAATGCCCACGGACGGAGTGCAGCTTGGAAACCTGCTACGTTATAATCGTAAGCTGAGCCTGCTAGATCTCAGGAACAATCACCTGCAGGTTGGTAATTTTGGATAGACTGTCTTGTTTGTTTTTTAATATCCATGGATAGTTTCGGATTTTTTTTTTAGAAAACACATTTCCACTGCCATTATATGGTTCTCGGCTTGTCTGTGCCATTTTTACACCATCTGGTTGCTCCATGAAGATTTGAAATCTTGAGATTACAAAATAATAATCTGGATGGCATACCAACAGGTGTATCCACAATACCTTGTTCAGCCTCACTAGAAGTTATCGTTAGGCACCTGTAACAGTTGCAACAGCTAGGTTTTGTATGGATAATGATTGGTTGTATTCTCAGCTTGTTTGTTTATTGTCCACATTTCTGTGCATAAAACATTACAAGTTCTATAGACCAGTTAATCAGCCAGTCAATTAGGTGTCTTCTCCACAAGGCAGGTAAGTTTGATTACAGCGTATGAGTTTCATTTATTCGATTACAACATACATTCACCTTTTATTTTAAAATTTCAGGATGTTGGTACCAGCCATATCTCAGATGGGTTGGTGGAGCAAGGGAAAGGCCCAGGGTTACGAACCTTGGTGCTGTGGAACAATGCCGTCAACTACCAGGCCATGCCTGCACTGGGACGAGCGCTTGTAAGTTATTGACTGGCTTAATACAGGATGTCTCTTTGTGTGGGTTTCAGGGCCCCATTTGTTGGGGGAGGGGGCGCAGTGGAGGTGATGGGGTGTTTGGGGATCCACTGCACCTTAACAAAAATTTAGTTTTATAACCTTTGCAGGACTTGCAGAGCCAACCCCAGCATTTTTGTTTTGTTTGTTGTTGTTGCTGTTGTGGTTTTTTAAGCAAATTTTACATTAAGTAGTTTGCCATTGCTCCTGAATGGTCAGCTCTCAATACCACCATCCAGACCAACAAAAAGCAAAAAATCGCCTGCCTCTGGGATTGAACCTGGCACCCCGGCATTACAAAGGGTGTTCACAATGCCTATGCCACAGACACTGACCTCAACGTGGCGCAAGGTGCAGTTATCGCACCTGGCTGTAAAGCACAACACGACATGCTACTCATCCTACTGAGGTGGACAAATAAGTTTGAACAATGAATCAACATCATGGCACACGGGTAGCAACCCATAAGTGCTCCGTTCTTCTTCTAACTCAAGTCTGAGTCTGAAGTAGCTCAGCGCCAAGAACCATTGAACAGAAATTGTTGAAATTTTGTATAGCATATGTAACTTTAATGTCATGGTGGTGAATTTGTCTCTTTGACATCTGACTTTTTTTTTATTTTTTTTTATTTAAACCTAATTGTTGTGATCTCTCATCAAATATATTTAATTTATCTAGCATTTAATTATGAGAGCGGAATAGAAGAGACATGTCACCAGTGAAAGAAACAGACTGTAATAGATTATTATTACATTTATAATGTTCACAAATAAATTACTTTGACAGTTGTAATGTTTACTGACAAAGATGACTGAATATCTGTTATAATGTTTACTAACAGATTATTATAGCTGTTATAATGTTTAATTATAGATTATTGTCACAGCTGTAATGTTTACTGGCAGAAACTACAGTGGAGATGTTAACTGAAATAGACTGTTCATGACAGTTAAGCACCATTGTTATGTATTTTTTGTGTTCGACCTAATAGGCAGCCAATGAGACATTGGAAACACTGAATATTGGACACAACACCTTGACCAATGAAGGAGTTCATTTGCTTAAAGATGGGCTCCTTAAAACCAACTCCTTGTTGCGCCTGGGACTACAGGGAACCCGGATAACAGATGAAGGTTAGTTCATTTGAGAAGATAATTGACTAAGTAGATAAGTAGATAAGTACGTAAGTAAGTGTTATGTATGTTATAAGAGGTTATTAAAGAGTGTTGGCATAAGTCTTGGCCACATTATCCTGTAGAAAATGAGGGAGAAACATGAGCAGACTTTTAATTAGGTTGTGGCTGGTACTGTTGGCATGTTGACTCTTCATTAACTACTGTAGAAGTAGACGGAGCATGTGTGAGAATGTCCTGAGGGCAGTGATGTCATTCTTGATTCATTCATTCATTCATTCAGTCTTTCATCCTGTAGAAGAATGTAGTTACATAATACAGCCATTTACGAATAAATGTACAATGGCCTGTCCTTATCCTAGGAAAAGAAAATGCAACCTAAAATCATAATGTTACAGCAATGCATGTTAGACCATTAGCCTTTGTTGGCAGCTGGACTAGGAGGAAAGCTTTGACACGCGGACAGATAGAGTATTCTTTTCTGATTCAGCAGCTTCTGCAGCACTATGCTTTGTTCCAAATATGTTGGGTTTATCGTTTTCTAAGAGTAAACAAGGCATGCTGATGAGAGATGGATGATGCTGCATGGGCAAAACATGGTCTCTACTGGATCTTAAGCCATTGTAACACTACGGGAAAGAAAAGAGCAAGTTGTGTTAAGCTGCATTCACTAAGTAATATGGAGACTGATTCCTCCAGCACCATTGACTCCACTTTGTAATTGGAGGAGTGTGTACCTGTTTTATGGCACTATTGGTGCATTCAGTATGGATTCCATCCCTCACAGCTTTCTTGCTGAACTGTCCATAAAAACCCATATCCATCTGTTTTGGGAGTAGTTTTTGCTTTAAGATCTGATTGGTCTGTGCAAAATTAACGCCTATGAAGTGAGATGCTTGAGAAAAGCCGCTGACTTTACCATCCACCACAAAGTCAGAAATTACATTAACAGACATACTGTAGAACAACACCATGCAGTAAATTCTTCGAGAAACAGAAGATCAAATGGTTTGGGCAGCTAGTACGAATACAGCCAGAACAACTACCAGTGCAGGCGAAACACTTGAAAAGATCTGATGTGAAAGAAGGAGGTTGCCCTAGGAGAATATGGATTGATGATATTGAAGAACGTCTTCATCGACATGGAATTACAAAAGCCATTGCTGCCCATCAAGCAGTGGATAACAAACTGATCTTCCCCATGATGCTTAATGCCAGAAGTGGAAATTGATGATGATGATGGTTGTGATCTGATTGGTGACTGCATTTCTAAGGGAGTCTATACTTATTTGGTCAGGATATCATCTGTGGTATCTCTGATTTGCACTTCCAGGGTGGGTATTCATGATAAGTGTGCAACGTTTTTCAGACCAGGAAGTGTAAACTCATATTTTGAGTTTTACATTGCCTAAGTATTTACTAAATACTTATCATGGCATATACTTTTGTTGTTGATTTTGCAGCAGTGATATCATTGAAGATTTAGTCAGTATTTATTAAGGTGTAGAAAGAGTCCTTTTTACAGTAGTGTTATTCATTAGGATGCTTCAGTTGGCGAACAAAATCTGATTGTTATGTCTCATATTAGGAGAAGACATTTTGCTGCAAAAATATTATTTTATTCTAGAAAATACAGAGCAGAATGAAAGGGGGGGGGGGGGGGGGGGGGGGGGGGGGGGTGTGTGTGTGTGTGTGTGTGTGTGTGTGTGTGTGTGTGTTAAAAATAGTTCAAATTCTGAGATTAAAGCAAGTTAATGAATGAAAAACAATGTAATAAAATGTAAAGGTTTAATATCGAGTTTATCTAAGTAATTCCATCAGGCTCTCTACCAGATAGCTCAGTCTCCTTCTGCAGTTTAGCTAGTCATCTGGGCAAGAGCATCACATAAAGTACAAACTCAATAGAGAGTGGCAATCATTGCTTCAGAGGTCCCGGGTAGTTAGCCAATATTTCCTATAGGTGATGCTGGGGTGGTGAGAAATGAACAAGCAGATAGACTGGCTGGTTCTGCACCACTTGGTGGTGAATTGATATATGACAAGCTAGATGATGTAAGGGTCCTTTGGGAGCGAGTGGACAGTGCGGAGGCACAAATAGATCATCATGGTCTGAGGAGAATGGTGCTGTGAGGAGTGACCAGAAGATCTGGCCGACGCTCACTCAGAGGAAAAGTGTGAAGGATATATAGTCACAACTGTTACTGGTACTATCAGAATTGGAACTCTGTGCTTGCTGCTGAAGATGGGGACACAGCACTTATAGAATGTCCCCAGTGCATTCAACTTCATAACTCCTGAGATGGTTCTTAGTGTTTTAGAAATTGCACTAATGAACCCAATGATGCAGTCTGTGAAACAAAGCCATGACCTTCACAACACAGGGCAAATGGCTTAGCAACTGAGACACCCCAAATACACCCCAAATCATACAAAGAACATTGACAAGCCATTTCTTGAGATGCTCGTCCTGATAAGAGTGTCTCTCTTGGCTGTCTTTTTTGCAGGTGCAGTAGCTCTGGCAGAATACATTGCTGACAGTACAATCCTGCTGCGGATAGACCTCCGAGACAACGATATTAAAACTGGCGGTCTGATGGCTCTGTCTCATGCCATGAGAGTGAACACCTCCATCACAAGGATTGACCTTGATAAGGAACCTAAGAAGGAGTCTGTGAGTAATGTTATCATCTTCCTCTTTTTTCTTTTTTTTCAACCTTCCTTTTCCTCTTCTTCTGATTCTGTCTTTCTTTCTTTCTGTCTTTCTTTCTGTCTGTCTTTCTTTCTTTCTTTCTTTCTTTCTTTCTTTCTTTCTTTCTTTCTTTCTTTCTTTCTTTCTTTCTTTCTTTCTTTCTTTCTTTCTTTCTTTCTTTCTTTCTTTTTCTTTCTTTCTTTCTTTCTTTCTTTCTTTCTTTCTTTCTTTCTTTCTTTCTTTCTTTCTTTCTTTCTTTCTTTCTTTCTTTCTTTCTTTCTTTCTTTCTTTCTTTCTTTCTTTCTTTCTTTCTTTCTTTCTTTCTTTCTTCTTCTTCTTCTTCTTCTTCTTTTGCGTCTTATTCTTCTTCTTCTTTTTCTGGTGCATTCATCCTTAAAAGGATAGTTGACATGTCGTGGTTTACAGCTTGACTGCAATATCTGCACTTTCAGATCAGCACATCCAATTTCAGCCACACTGTGGGTGGGGGGAGGTCCCAGAAACTGCGTTCAGCCTTTATGCCATGTTTATGGCCAGGCTATATTGCGGCCCCTGGCAAAAGCCAGAGTAGGACTTCAAATAACGAAAAATGTCATCCTAAAAGGGACGTGAAGTTATCTATTTGAAAGCCAACCCATAATTAGTCATCTTTTAGGGCGTGCTTGTTGGGTGGGGAGGAGGCATTTGGTCTGTTCAGATAACTGCTAAAATGCAGCATTGCAACCCACATGGGGTGAAAAACAACCTAGCATGCAACAGTTCACACATTGTGGCTGGCTTGTGTCATTTCCTATACTTGATATACATCTATGTGCTTTTTCTAATACCCAGTATATATTTGAGCTTTAAGTCTGTACCATATCTATAAGCCAGACTAATTCCTTATGATTAGGGTATTATTGTACCAGTGTCTCATTGTCTATTTTTTGTTTAAAAATTTTTTTTACTATGGATGGAATCTTATAGGAAATAGGAAGGACCACAGAGAATAAGTTACAAGGTCAGCTTGTAGAAAAACTGGTATTCAGAAATTACTTAGGCACAGAGTGCCTTAACACAACTGTGCAACATGACAGTTGCTGAAAAAGTTTGTGCTCTAAAACACACCACTGTGCAGCATGACAGTTGCTGAAAAATGCAGTGTTCATACCCTAAAAGACACCACTGTGCAGAATGACGATGACAGTTGCCGACAGTTGTTTGAAAAATGCCATGTTCATACCGTAAAAGACACTACTGTGCAACACAACACTTGCTGAAAAATGCAGTGTTCATACCCTAAAAGATACTATTGTGCATCATGACATTTAATCAGTAACACAGGATTCGTTCCCTAAAAGACACCCATGTGCATTGTTGACAGTTGATGAATAATACAGTATTCATGCCCTCAAAGACAACACTCTGCAGCTTGACATTTGCTCAGTAACACAGTATTCATGCCCCCAAAGACCACACTCTGCAGCATGACATTTGCTCAGTAACACAGTATTTGTGCCCCCAAAGACAACACTCTGCAGCATGACATTTGCTCAGTAACACAGTATTCATGCCATCAAAGACAACACTCTGCAGCATGACATTTGCTCAGTAACACAGTATTCGTGTCCCCAAAGACCACACTCTGCAGCATGACATTTGCTCAGTAATACAGTATTTGTGCCCCCAATGACAACACTCTGCAGCATGACATTTGCTCAGTAACACAGTATTCATGCCATTAAAGACAACACTCTGCAGCATGACATTTGCTCAGTAACACAGTATTCGTGCCCCCAAAGACAACACTCTGCAGCATGACATTTGCTCAGTAACACAGTATTCATGTCGCCAAAGACAGCACTCTGCAGCATGACATTTGCTCAGTAACACAGTATTCATGCCCCCAAAGACAACACTCTGCAGCATGACATTTGCTCAGTAACACAGTATTCATGCCCTCAAAGACAACGCTCTGCAGCATGGCATTTGCTCAGTAACACAGTATTCATGCCCTCAAGGACAACGCTCTGCAGCATGACATTTGCTCAGTAACACAGTATTCATGCCCTCAAAGAAAACACTCTGCAGCATGACATTTGCTCAGTAACACAGTATTCATGCCATCAAAGACAACACTCTGCAGCATGACATTTGCTCAGTAACACAGTATCCGTGCCCCCAAAGACCACACTCTGCAGCATGACATTTGCAAAGCAACACAGTATTTGTGCCATCAAAGACAACACTCTGCAGCATGACATTTGCTCAGTAACACAGTATTCGTGTCCCCAAAGACCACACTCTGCAGCATGACATTTGCTCAGTAATACAGTATTTGTGCCCCCAATGACAACACTCTGCAGCATGACATTTGCTCAGTAACACAGTATTCATGCCATTAAAGACAACACTCTGCAGCATAACATTTGCTCAGTAACACAGTATTCGTGCCCCCAAAGACAACACTCTGCAGCATGACATTTGCTCAGTAACACAGTATTCATGCCGCCAAAGACAGCACTCTGCAGCATGACATTTGCTCAGTAACACAGTATCCGTGCCCCCATAGACCACACTCTGCAGCATGACATTTGCTCAGCAACACAGTATTTGTGCCCCCAAAGACAACACACTGCAGCATGACATTTGCTCAGTAACACAGTATTCATGCCCTCAAAGACCACACTCTGCAGCATGACATTTGCTCAGTAACACAGTATTTGTGCCCCCAAAGACAACACACTGCAGCATGACATTTGCTCAGTAACACAGTATTCATGCCCTCAAAGACCACACTCTGCAGCATGACATTTGCTCAGCAACACAGTATTTGTGCCCCCAAAGACAACACACTGCAGCATGACATTTGCTCAGTAACACAGTATTCATGCCCTCAAAGACCACACTCTGCAGCATGACATTTGCTCAGTAACACAGTATTCATGCCCTCAAAGACAACACTCTGCAGCATGACATTTGCTCAGTAACACAGTATTCATGCCATTAAAGACAACACTCTGCAGCATGACATTTGCTCAGTAACACAGTATTCATGCCCTTAAAGACAATGCTCTGCAGCATGACATTTGCTCAGTAACACAGTATTCATGCTGCCAAAGACAACACTCTGCAGCATGACATTTGCTCAGTAACACAGTATTCATGCCCTCAAAGACAATGCTCTGCAGCATGACATTTGCTCAGTAACACAGTATTCATGCCCTCAAAGACAACACTCTGCAGCATGACCTTTGCTCAGTAACACAGTATTCATGCCCTCAAATACAACACTCTGCAGCATGACATTTGCTCAGTAACACAGTATTCATGCTGCCAAAGACAACTCTCTGCAGCATGACATTTGCTCAGTAACACCGTATTCATGCCTCCAAAGACAATACTCTGCAGCATGACATTTGCTCAGTAACACAGTATTCATGATATCAAAGACAAAACTCTGCAGCATGACATTTGCTCAGTAACACAGTATCCGTGCCCCCAAAGACCACACTCTGCAGCATGACATTTTCTCAGTAACACAGTATTTGTGCCCCCAAAGACAACACTCTGCAGCATGACATTTGCTCAGTAACACAGTATTCATGCCCCCAAAGACAACACTCTGCAGCATGACATTTGCTCAGTAACACAGTATTCGTGTCCCCAAAGACCACACTCTGCAGCATGACATTTGCTCAGTAATACAGTATTTGTGCCCCCAATGACAACACTCTGCAGCATGACATTTGCTCAGTAACACAGTATTCATGCCATTAAAGACAACACTCTGCAGCATGACATTTGCTCAGTAACACAGTATTCATGCCTCCAAAGACAACACTCTGCAGCATGACATTTGCTCAATAACACAGTATTCATGCCCCCAAAGACAACACTCTGCAGCATGACATTTGCTCAGTAACACAGTATTCATGCCGCCAAAGACAGCACTCTGCAGCATGACATTTGCTCAGTAACACAGTATTCATGCCCCCAAAGACAACACTTTGCAGCATGACATTTGCTCAGTAAAACAGTATTCATGCCCCTAAAGACAACACTCTGCAGCATGACATTTGCTCAGTAACACAGTATTCATGCCCTCAAAGACAACACTCTTCAGCATGACATTTGCTCAGTAACACAGTATTCATGCCATCAAAGACAACACTCTGCAGCATGACATTTGCTCAGTAACACAGTATCCGTGCCCCCAAAGACCACACTCTGCAGCATGACATTTGCTCAGCAACACAGTATTTGTGCCCCCAAAGACAACACTCTGCAGCATGACATTTGCTCAGTAACACAGTATTCATGCCATCAAAGAAAACACTCTGCAGCATGACATTTGCTCAGTAACACAATATTCATGCCCTCAAAGACCACACTCTGCAGCATGACATTTGCTTAGTAACACAGTATTCATGCCCTCAAAGACAACACTCTGCAGCATGACATTTGCTCAGTAACACAGTATTCATGCCATCAAATACAACGCTCTGCAGCATGACATTTGCTCAGTAACACAGTATTCGTGCCCCCAAAGACCACACTCTGCAGCATGACATTTGCTCAGTAATACAGTATTTGTGCCCCCAATGACAACACTCTGCAGCATGACATTTGCTCAGTAACACAGTATTCATGCCCTCAAAGACAACACTCTGCAGCATGATATTTGCTCAGTAACACAGTATTTGTGCCCCCAATGACAACACTCTGCAGCATGACATTTGCTGAGTAACACAGTATTCATGCCCTCAAAGACAACACTCTGCAGCATGACATTTGCTCAGTAACACAGTATTCATGCCCTCAAAGACAACACTCTGCAGCATGACATTTGCTCAGTAACACAGTATTCATGCCATCAAAGACAACACTCTGCAGCATGACATTTGCTCAGTAACACATTATTCATGCCCTCAAAGACAACGCTCTGCAGCATGACATTTGCTCAGTAACACAGTATTCATGCCATCAAAGACAACGCTCTGCAGCATGGCATTTGCTCAGTAACACAGTATTCATGCCATCAAAGACAACGCTCTGCAGCATGACATTTGCTCAGTAACACCGTATTCATGCCCTCAAAGACAACGCTCTGCAGCATGACATTTGCTCAGTAACACAGTATTCATGCCATCAAAGACAACGCTCTGCAGCATGACATTTGCTCAGTAACACAGTATTCATGCCTCCAAAGACAACACTCTGCAGCATGACATTTGCTCAGTAACACCGTATTCATGCCCTCAAAGACAACGCTCTGCAGCATGACATTTGCTCAGTAACACAGTATTCATGCCATCAAAGACAACGCTCTGCAGCATGACATTTGCTCAGTAACACAGTATTCATGCCTCCAAAGACAACACTCTGCAGCATGACATTTGCTCAGTAACACAGTATTCATGCCCTCAAAGACAATGCTCTGCAGCATGACATTTGCTCAGTAACACAGTATTCATGCCCTCAAAGACAACACTCTGCAGCATGACATTTGCTCAGTAACACAGTATTCGTGCCCCCAAAGACAACACTCTGCAGCATGACATTTGCTCAGTAACACAGTATTCATGCCCCCAAAGACAACACTCTGCAGCATGACATTTGCTCAGTAACACAGTATTCATGCCCTCAAAGACAGCACTCTGCAGCATGACATTTGCTCAGTAACACAGTATTCATGCCCCTAAAGACAACACTCTGCAGCATGACATTTGCTCAGTAACACAGTATTCATGCCCCCAAAGACAACACTCTGCAGCATGACATTTGCTCAGTAACACAGTATCCGTGCCCCCAAAGACCACACTCTGCAGCATGACATTTGCTCAGTAATACAATATTCATGCCCCCAAAGACAGCACTCTGCAGCATGACATTTGCTCAGTAACACAGTATTCATGCCCCTAAAGACAACACTCTGCAGCATGACATTTGCTCAGTAACACAGTATTCATGCCCCCAAAGACAACACTCTGCAGCATGACATTTGCTCAGTAACACAGTATTCATGCCCTCAAAGACAACGCTCTGCAGCATGACATTTGCTCAGTAACACAGTATTCATGCCCTCAAAGACAACACTCTGCAGCATGACATTTGCTCAGTAACACAGTATTCATGCCCTCAAAGACAATGCTCTGCAGCATGACATTTGCTCAGTAACACAGTATTCGTGCCCCCAAAGACAACACTCTGCAGCATGACATTTGCTCAGTAACACAGTATTCTTGCCCCCAAAGACAACACTCTGCAGCATGACATTTGCTCAGTAACACAGTATTCATGCCCCCAAAGACAGCACTCTGCAGCATGACATTTGCTCAGTAACACAGTATTCATGCCCCTAAAGACAACACTCTGCAGCATGACATTTGCTCAGTAACACAGTATTCATGCCCCCAAAGACAACACTCTGCAGCATGACATTTGCTCAGTAACACAGTATTCGTGCCCCCAAAGACAACACTCTGCAGCATGACATTTGCTCAGTAACACAGTATTCATGCCCCCAAAGACAACACTCTGCAGCATGACATTTGCTCAGTAACACAGTATTCATGCCCCCAAAGACAACACTCTGCAGCATGACATTTGCTCAGTAATACAGTATTCATGCCCTCAAAGACAACACTCTGCAGCATGACATTTGCTCAGTAATACAGTATTCATGCCCCTAAAGACAACACTCTGCAGCATGACATTTGCTCAGTAATACAGTATTCATGCCCCCAAAGACAACACTCTGCAGCATGACATTTGCTCAGTAACACAGTATTCATGCCCTCAAAGACAACGCTCTGCAGCATGACATTTGCTCAGTAACACAGTATTCATGCCCTCAAAGACAACACTCTGCAGCATGACATTTGCTCAGTAACATAGTATTCATGCCGCCAAAGACAACACTCTGCAGCATGACATTTGCTCAGTAACACCGTATTCATGCCCTCAAAGACAACACTCTGCAGCATGACATTTGCTCAGTAACACAGTATTCATGCCCTGAATGACACCACTGGGCAGCACAGTGGTTATGAAATTGCGCAAAATTCCTGCCTTAAAAGACATCATTGGATATGATATTTAGTTTGTCAGAAAAATGCAGATGCAGAAAAAACTTGCTAACTAGACTGATGTATGTATGTATGCAATAACTCTTTGCTTTAATGTTATACCTCACATGTCTTAAACATTTTTAACTCTTTCAGTTCCCGCTTGTTTTTTTTTTTAACATTTCTTTTTCTTATTTGTTTTAGTAACAATTTTCAAATGTGAAGGAGGCCAACTAAAACAGCTGATGCCGAAAAAATGGAATTAACAATTGTGTTAGAATAAATTAACCGTAATAAGAATGGAAACAAAAATGCTCATAAAATATACAAGATGTGCAGAGTTTTCAGTTAACGAATAATGAGTTGCTTGGTACTCACAGAGTTTAATAAATACAATATTTACATTTTGTTTTGTTTTTGTCCTGCAGAGTATGAAAGATTATGCTGAGCAACAGAGTCTTCTGCTTAGAGACATCTATACATTTCAACAGCGCAACATTGAGGCAGCTGTCCAGAGAGAAGAGCAGGAGAGAGCCAGTGTCAAACAGAAGTTGGATACATTCCTTGCTGCCGGCCAGGAAGAGGCAGCAGATGAGCAAACAGTGGAAGGTTTACCATCTGACAGTTCCACTGCTGATTCTGTGGCTTTACTTGAGGTGGAAAGTGAAGTTTGTGAAACAGATGTTGAACAGGAGAAAGACAGAAAAGATGCTGAGAATATCAAGACAAAAAGCATCGAAGAACAGCTAAAGGAAAGTCCGAATCAGAATGAACAGTTAGATAGTGATGAAGTAGATTCTTCTATAGCTAAAGAAGAGATAAAAAATCGACAACGACCTAGTATATTATTTCCTTATCTGGGGCTGCCCCCACAAGCTTCTTTAGACTCTCCGCTACCGACTTCAAGTGTCAGTCCACTTATTTCTGGGCTTTCTGAATCAGTTTCTGGCCCCCCTCCTCTACAACCTCTCCGGACAACTCAAAAGGATTTTCTAACCCTCAATGTAGGTACAGCGCCAGGAGAAATGATTTTAAGTCCTCAGTATTTTCCTAAGCAAATAGCTCGCAAAATTTTCTCGGTCAGTCGCGTCACTGAGGATTCATCCTTGTCTCGCTTGTCAACTTCACCAACACCTTCTCATCCCTTAGCTGCTACATTCGACCCTCTCAATGTTTCACCTGTACCTCTCATTCCTGCATCTTCTGCACGGTCCTCTTCATTATCACCACTACCACCATCATCCCCAGTCCTGGTGCCAAGGTCTGCTGCACGAGCATTCCAACAATCCAAAGCTGAAACTCGTGTTTCAGTCAGCCCAAGCTCCATGCTGTTCCAGAAACTGGCTGAAGAGACAGTAAGGCACATGATTTCACCGATCGTTGACAGAGCTGCTAAAGAAGTGCTATCAGAGAATACAGAAAAGTTAGAATCTAAAGACATTACAACAGCTGTAGGTGCTGAAAGTAATGCTGTGCCGGCTTTCAGTAACACATTCAATACTTCTGCTCTAAATCAGGAAATGTTGTTTACGTCTCCATCTGCATCTCTTGATACTACAGGCCTGTGTGATAGTCAGATATCCCTATTTGTTGGCACGGGGAATATATTTTCTTCAGTTGGCAACAGCACTCTGCCTACAAGTCTCGAAGACTTGGCTGTGATGAACAATATTACAAAGGATGCACCATTGACAGATTTCACATTAGAAGAAGAACTCTTGCAGCAAAAACGTTTATTCATTCCAGAGAATACACTGAACAAAACACCATGGAACTCTTTAGAAACATTCAACAGTAGTTCTAATACTGAGACTGATGTTAGTGACATTTTGACAGGAATTGGTGTTTGCAGAAGGGACGAGGAAAGTGAATGTAAGGTTGAATCACCTGAATATGTGAACTTTTCTGATGAAGAAAACAGTAGTAGTGCTGGTAATGTATCACATTTGGAAAGTGATAACATTACCTTATATGTGGATGCAGGTGCTGGTGATGCTAAACAGACTAAAGACATCTCTGAAAGAGAAGACTTTGCTGCCCAGTTCACACAGCAGCATACTGCAGACATCGACAGTGATAATTCCCTATTGAGTTTGGTTGATACATTTGACAGAGAGACCTCCTCTGCCCCCAAAGTGACAGATAAGCTTGTGATGGATGAACTCATGCCAGTTTGTCTGAACAATTCCAGCAGCCCTGCTCTGCTTCTACCAGAAGACACTTTAGAAGTCTCTCCTGACAGATGTGAGTCTTACGGCAACGAAGAACCAAATCTTTCTTCTTTTGAAGACTTGGGTAGTCTTGATATTGGTGCTTCTGGTCATCAGGAAAATGTGCAAGTTAATTCTTCAGATATTTCTGTGAAGTCTGCGTCTGCAGATGTTTCTAGTGACCATGTAGGTAGCCATGCTGATGTACATAATTCCAACAGGGACAGTACTGAAACTGTAGACTTCAGCCTGGATGAAGAGTCTTGGCTCGCCATCGGGGCGGAAACTGAAAACAGCGCTACAGACAAATCCAAGCAGTCAACGACACCGCCAGATTTTTTCACAACCCTGTCACTGAATGGGCTTACTCAAGAGCTGGCTAGTGCTTTGACATTGCTGGATGGGGCAACTTCCTCGTATGAGAACGAGGATGATTCTGCAGGTAAAATACTGTTGTTATTCTGTGGTTCCCACAGTCAGACGTTTTTGTTCAGTGGTTCTCACAATCAGACGTTTTTCTGATTTCTTCCATCTTATATGTTTCCTGTGTTTTTAATTACATATTCTGTCATGGCTGCTTTGTGTATTTAATTTTTGAATATATGAGTACCAAGCATCGCATAGCACATTGTGGATTACTCCACACTTTTCGAAGCCTTTCATGTATTAATTATTCTTCTGTTAGTTAAATCCTTCTGTTCCAGTTGTTACTTTACCTTGCAGTGTCTCATAGATTTCCACTTTCCTTATTCCCCACTTTTAAAAACACAGTTACACTCTTCCCATCTTACTTTCTGCAATCAAACAGAAGTATACAGTGAAATGTTTCAAAAATTAATTAATACTTCAAGTTCACCTGTTACAGAACAGATGAGACAAGTGTGAACAATTTATTTTATCAAAATTAGCTTCACTTATTCTCTTTCGCTTTCAGTGCTCCTTTTTTATATTTTTTCAATTTCTACAGCAGACTTGAGACTACAACGTCTCTCCCCCATACTATCCAGAGCCACCCTTCACCGAAAAGGGTTCTTTACTTTACTACTTAATTGTTTGATGTTTGATTGATTCAATAATTCATTAAGCTAATCAGTTTGAAGACTGTTCTTGTACTGTCTGATGCTCTCACAAACTCATCTTGCATTCTTGTTTTTATGTATTAAAAATGAATTTTTTTTTTTAGTACACTTGGCCGCTGATTACAGCCAACTGGCAAAGCATGTTGAGAAAATAAGAGCCAGGCATGCTTCATATAGAATGACAAACATCGCTTCTGGAGATTCCCTATTTTTGATATTTTCTCTGGACAATGCAGGAGTGTTGGAAATGAACAGGCAGACAGATTGACTGGTTCTGCACCAATGAATAGGGAATTTAAGCGTGGCAAGCTAGATGTGGTGAAGACCCTATTGAGAGCAAGTGAATAATGCAGAGGCATAAATTAATCATGATGGTCTGGAGAGAACGGTGCAGCTAGGAGTGAGCAGGGGATCTGGTGAATTCTCTACACTGAGAGGAAAGGCAAGGCAGACACATAATTAAACTGCTGTTGACACTATCAGATTTGGAACTCTTTGCTGGCTGCTGGAGATGAGGATAGAGTGTTTTGGGAAACGTCCTGAGTGCTGTGATGTAAGTTCTTGGCTCAGCACCCACCACTCAACTTGGCTGCTGGCTGTGTGCTCATCTGTTCAAGTCTCCACTTAGGCAAGAGTTCGGACCTGTTCACGTTTCTAGGCCCAGGATAAGAGTAACTTCCCTTGCTGTTCATGCCTCCTTAGGTTGCTGAACCTCTCCTGTGTTGCGGGGATGTTATGATAGAGCTAGGTTTGGTGTTCGCTTGGGGTGTGTAATGTTTATGGGAGGTTGTGTTGTTGTGAGTCTATTTCAGGCGCCTGCGTACAAGTAATAAGTACTGCAGGGGAAAGCGCCGCAGGTGCGACGATTCTTGGCTATTGAAACTGGAATGTTTTTGAATTTCTGCGTTCGTTCGCAGTATAAAGTTCTACTTCTTGCTCTTCTGGCTGCCTTGACCATAGACACATCATGGTGTTGTACAGCTTGTTTGATAGCTTTTTATCTTGTTTTTGATCTGCCTTGTGCTCTCCATCCTTTTCCTCTTCTGGTGTGTGCCCTGTATGACATGGCATCAGAAGGCATTCTCTCTAATTTAGAATTGGGGCCCACAAAGAAAGCAAACAGTAGTAACACTGTAATCTCACCATGCACTGAGTCGTAACACTAATTTTACCATGCACTGAATGGTGATCATCATGTCCCTTGCCGTCTGGCATGAGCAGATTTTCGCATGCTTCTCCAAAAGCATGCATTAGTTGGAATGTTGACACCCTTCCATCTTACACAATAGGACTTACAAATGCATGTTCTCAAAGTCTTGATGGTGACATTACATTAACTGGCATGTCATCCTTGTTTTGTGTGTTTGAAGTAATGCTGTATTAACTTAGATGTATAAACACACCTGATGGCACGTGATCATCTCTCTCTTTCTAAATTTTGCATATATATATATATATATATATATATATATATATTATATATATATATATATATATATATATATATATATATATATATATATATATATATATATATATATACACACGATCAGCATGTGCTTGGCCATATGGTGTAGGTGGATGTGTTTTTAATCGATTTTAGTTTTCTGGATTAAGTCTGAGGATGAAACCTATCCATGACACTATGTAAGATCATCCAGTATTATTTCTGTTGATCTACCTCAGCTTCCGTTACCCTTGACTTTTTCAGTTACCAGGATATATTACAGGACCTTTCTTGTTAAAATATGTCTAAATAACACTGTCTGTTTCTCAAAGTGTGTATACTGTTGTACTTTATTAGTCTCTTTCATTCATTTATTTAGCAGTGACTCTAGCAGTCATCTGTTCAGCATTTATTTACAAATGATTTGTTTAGCAGTCATTTTTTAAGCATTTCTTTAACAAATGATTTATCTAGTAATAATTTATCTAGTGATAATCTATCTAACAGTTGTTTATCTAGCAATCATTTATCTAGTAATAATCTATCTAGCAGTTGTTTATCTAGCAATCATTTATCTAGTGATAATCTATCTAGCAATTGTTTATCTGGCAATCATTTATCTAGTAATTATCTATCTAGCAATTGTTTATCTGGCAATCATTTATCTAGTAATTATCTATCTAGCAATTGTTTATCTGGCAATCATTTATCTAGTAATTATCTATCTAGCAATTGTTTATCTGGCAATCATTTATCTAGTGAAAATCTATCTAGCAATTGTTTATCTGGCAATCATTTATCTAGTAATTATCTATCTAGCAATTGTTTATCTGGCAATCATTTATCTAGTGATAATCTAGCAATTGTTTATCTGGCAATTATTTATCTAGTGATAATCTAGCAATTGTTTATCTGGCAATCATTTATCTAGTAATTATCTATCTAGCAATTGTTATCTAATTATTGTAATATCTATCTAGCAATTATTTATATCTAGCAATTGTTTATCTGGTTTGATGTGTAACTATTTGCTTGTGAGCTAAATAAACAATAGTGTAAAAATGTTTTGGATCAAAATTTGAAATAATAGTCCACAAAGAACAAGCAAAGAATAGAACGGGACACCATATCTAAGAAAATCCTGTCTGGAAATGTTGCTTTACAGCAAAAGTCTTTCTGGTTCTTAAAGGGTTAATCTCTGTCGCATATTCTTTCTCTGTTAATATGCCCCATAGATATTTGAATGTAACTTGGATTCGTTCTATTCTAATATTAAATTTTGTGTGTATTGTTGGTAAAAACTCCATGGCAGTTGGGAATCAAAAAGAGTAGCTTAATGGTGCTGCCCACGCAAAATTTGGATTTTAAAATCTACTGAAAGTATTCACAAACTATTTTAGGATTCTTGCCGGTGCTACGGAGTTCGTGCACTGCGCTGAGATTCTTCGGACTCAGGCTTGAGTTAAAAGTAGAACCGAGCACTTATGGGTTGCTTTCCTTGTGCCATGATGTTGATCTGTTGTATAAACTAGACTAAATATTACATTTTGGTGTTATCATTTTTCTCTACCATTGATCCTGTTTTCTTGATATAAAAAATGTCCTATACCCCCTGACTCTCCCCCCTTTACCCTCCGCCACTCAAACTCTGTTTACTACAATGCCAAACAGTTTGATCATATATTTCATGTTGTCTGCTGTAATTATCCTGTCAGCTGCATAGTGCAGATTATCACTCACTTCCATTTGGTATTCTGATCTGTTTTTAAGTTCTTTTAATACTATTTTACTCGCGTGCAGATTGGAAGGTCATTGATTTGCTCCCTGGCGGAGCCGGACTTGAAAAAAAAGAAAAAATGACCTTGACTCCCAGGTGACCCAGCCTTGAGTGGGTACTGGGTGCAGTCCCTGCAAGTAAAGGTAGCCGGCGTGAGGCTAACCACATCAGCCATCTTGTGCCGATTGGTCTGTAAAAATACAAGTTCTTGCACTATGTGCCCAAACACATAAAGGCGTGGAAAAGGGACCTTTACTCACTATTTTACCAAAGGGAGAGAAGAGCTAATGTGACACTTTTTGTATTTTTTTTTTTTTTACTGTTGCTGACTTTATTTCTCATTTTAATTGCTGCTTCTTGTTTTCAGTAAATATTTTTGTTTTAACTATTCTGAGTCATTCCCTATCAGTTGTAATATCCTCCAACACTTTTATAATTTCATAAGGTTTTAAATTATCAATCCCCTTGGTCTAATCTCTAAAGCACATGTGTAAGTCTTTCTGTGTCTGAGTTCATCATACGGACGTACAATCTTACATGTGCACATTCATACGTCCGTACACTTTTGACATAGCTATCTAAACCTATTTTCTTTTGCCTTTATGCATTTTTTCTTTTTTGTTTTCATTGTTCTTTATTATTTTTATTTCGTTTGTCTGTCAACTTTAAATTTATTTAGTCATCTAGTTTTTCTTAGCTTCTTGTTTTATTTCTAGTATTATTGTTCTGTCTGAAAGATGTGATTTTTCAGCATTCTTCATTGCCTATTAATGCTTTGTATTTTTAGGTATTTCATGTATTTGAAGGTCACACCCACTGTCTTTCCTTCTTGAATGTTTATCTACCCTATTTTAAAACTATCTTTGATAAACAGTCGTGAATTGTTCTCTGTCACTTTTTAATCTTTCTTACTTTCATTTATCCACATAAACAGATGTGATCACTGCTACAGTATGAAGCCTTGTCTTGCCATTTTTCATTGCAGTAGGATAGTGGGTGAACCATCATTTCTGGGATTGACTACCTACTGTTTTTTGTTCTGTACATTGAAGATTGATGTGTGTGTTCTGTAAATGTTTGGCTTAATGTGTTGTAGGGATAGGTTCTGAATCTCTTGAATATATCAGTAGCTAGTCAGTTTGATTGAATGTTTATAATCACACATCTTTTTTCTGTGGCTTTGAGAATAGTGAATGCATGTCCTAATTTCACAGTGCTTTCCCTGACCTCGACTTACCATGTTTATGCAGTATATTAAAAAAAAAAAAAAAAAAATCTGTATTTGAGCAGTGGTGGTATGAGAGTTACATTGTGGAAGAGCTTGAGACCTTATCATGTAAGCCAGCTTTCATTGTTGAGATCCACTTTTTTCTCTCTCTGATTTTTGAAACAAGGTTTTTTTTTTTTTTAAGTACATCTACATATAATAGAAACTAACCAATTCATTGTTTATTGTTGTGAACTAACTACAACTGTTTGCACACATAATGTTTTTGCGACTGGCCTTGCATCTTGCACTTTACACTCATTTCCCCTGTGACCAGGAGACTTGCGACCCCATGATGAGTTTGAGAGGGAGCTTGATGCTATGCTGGCTTTAGTTCAGAGTGATCTCCCTTGGCCATTGAAAGGTAGCACTTAAATTAGTAATAGTTAGATAATTGAAAACATTATTTCCAGTAAATGTTTTATGTAGCTTTGTAGCAGTTTGTGCACATTGTAGATGCCTAATTTGTTTGAACTTTTTTCATATAAACATTTTTCAAAATTGCATTTGACCTTGTATTATCTATATACTAACATTTGTGTCTGTTTAATTTTATATATATATATATATATGTGTGTGTGTGTGTGTGTGTGTGTGCGTGCTTTAATTTTATATATATATATATATATATGTATGTGTGTGTGTGCGTGCGTGTGTGCATGCGTGCGTGTGGTTTTTTTTTTCCCAACTATTTATCAAACAAACAAAGTAAAAATAAAAAAGCCATTTTCCACACCTTTAGGCATATTGAGAGTACAGGACTAGACCTATATGTGTATAGACTGATCTGCATTTGGTGGGTGATGTGGACAGCATCACGCCGGCCGTGTTTACCCAGGACTGCACCTGGTACCCACTCAAGGCTGGGTGAACCTGGGAGCCAAAGTCATTTTTGAAAAACGCGAACCCATGACCTTCTGATCCGCAGGCGGGCGTCTAGCCGCTAATGCCACGGTGACTCCCATAAAACAAAAATCCACAGATGTTTTTGTTTTCAAGAGCAGTTTGTACATATACAGTTAAAAACTGATCACAAGGATAACACTGTTCTTGTTAATAGTGCTTGGGGTTTTTCTCTTTGTCCTCTTTTTAATCACTTTTTTTTTAACGCGTTGAGGTAGAAGAGGGTTGGCATGGTGGTCTTGCCTTAAATTCAAGGATGCACCATAAATCCATATATTTAAGGAGGTGCCAATTATTCAAGAAGGCGCCATATATTCAAGAAGGTGCCATATATTCAAGGAGGCGATAATAATTAAAGCAGGCGCCATATATTCAAGGAGGGGCCATATATTCAAGGAGGCGCCATATATTCAAGGAGGCGCCATATATTCAAGGAGACGCCATATATTCATGGAGGTGCCATATATTCAAGGAGGTGCCATATATTTAAGGAGGTGCCATATATTCAAGGAGGTGCCATATATTCAAGGAGGTGCCATATATTCAAGGAGGTGCCATATATTCAAGGAGGTGCCATATATTCAAGGAGGCGCCATATATTCAAGGAGGCGCCATATATTCAAGCAGGTGCCATATATTCAAGGAGGCGCCATATATTCAAGGAGGCGCCATATTTTCAAGGAGGTGCCATATATTCAAGGAAGTGCCATATATTCAAGGAGGTGCCATATATTCAAGGAGGTGCCATATATTTAAGGAGGTGCCATATATTCAAGGAGGTGCCATATATTTAAGGAGGCGCCATATATTCAAGCAGGTGCCATATATTCAAGCAGGTGCCATTTATTCAAGGAGGTGCTATATATTTAAGGAGGTGCCATATATTCAAGGAGGTGCCATATATTCAAGGAGGTGCCATATATTTAAGCAGGGGCCATATATTCAAGGAGGGGCCATATATTCAAGGAGGGGCCATATATTCAAGGAGGGGCCATATATTCAAGGAGGTGCCATATATTCAAGGAGGTGCCATATATTCAAGAAGGCGCCATATATTTATGGAGGCGCCATATATTCAAGCAGGCGCCATATATTTAAGGAGGCGCCATATATTCAAGGAGGTGCCATATATTCAAGGAGGGGCCATATATTCAAGGAGGCGCCATTTATTCAAGGAGGTGCCATATATTCAAGAAGGCGCCATATATTTATGGAGGCGCCATATATTCAAGAAAGCGCCATATATTCAAGGAGGGGCCATATATTCAAGAAGGCGCCATATATTCAAAGAGGCGCCATTTATTCAAGAAGGTGCCATATATTCAAGAAGGCGCCATATATTCAAGCAGGCGCCATATATTCTGGGAGGCAGCATATATTAAGGGAGGTGCCGTATGTTCAGGGAGGTGCCATAATTCATGGAGGCGCCATATATTCATTTAGGTGCCATATATTCAAGGAGGTGCCATATATTCAAGGAGGCGCCATATATTCAAGAAGGCGCCATATATTCAAGGAGGTGCCACCTGAAAAAAGATTGAAAACGACTGATCTAGTATTTATGAGGTTCAGTGCTGCCCACTTCAATGGCAGTATGTTCTGTGAGATTGCCTTGACATAACTTGCTGTGCTTGTCATGAATGCTTGCAGATATACAAATAATTGCATGGAATGGTCTTGTATTATCTCCTTGTTGAATATAGTTTAGTTTTATTTTTACCTGAAGACTGCTTCACTTTAAAAAAGGTTTTAGAGCCCTCCAGAGTTTTGGTAAAAATTGTCTAAAGCAATAGTTTATTCTTCTCCTCCTCCTCTTTCTCCTCCTCCTCCTTAATCTCTTTCTTCTCTTTTACTTCTTATTCTGCTGCTACTGATGCTTGCATGCTTAAAAATATATTTGTCATGTTACATGGTATTTTATAGCTAGGCTGTGCCTTTCAGCCCGACACGATCCGATTTCAGCAAACTTCTTATTAGACGCCTATTATGAAATGCTTGGTGTAATAGACCTAAACTCATCCTTTCCCTAATGGGGCTAAGAAACCTACATAGGGATAAGAGTAGTAAATGGAAAGGCAGACGGGTTAGAAGGGATTAAAGAAACAAAAGAATTCTGGGATATAAGGTGAAGTAATAAGTAGGATATAATTAGTTAATGTGAACTTCAGGAAAGTTCACAGAACATAATGCAGTATTTATTACTTTCCATTCATAAATAGGCCTGAATTATAAAAAGTCATTTAACAGAATTCATTTAATTCCTTTTATTTATTGCTTCCCATTTTTCTTTTCAGAATCATAAGGCTGGTATTCCAAGTTTGGCAGCCCCTCCAAGATAACCAATCTTGTTGTTTGTTGTAAAGTGTTGAATGAAGAAATTGACTCATCTTCAAGACTTACCATTGATTTTCCTGTGATATATAAACAGTTGTTATCTTGCAATCTCATTTATTCCAAAGTTGGTGACAGTTGCCAGCAACAATTAATCATCCCTTGCACCTGCTTGTCACTGTTTCTAATGCCAATCAATCATCAGTTGCCAGTGTGTGTTGGAGCAAGTATCTGGACAGTGTATGAGACCAACAGATAAAACTGTCAGGTTACGCCAAAGTCACCAGTTGTAACGTGACAAATGGCAGTCCTGAAAATTCCCTTTGTTAAAAATCCCCACTTAGATGACATTGGTGTAATGCCATCGATGCGTGGTGGTGTAATGCCATCGATGTGTGGTGGTGTAATGCCATCGATGTGTGGTGGTGTAATGCCATCGATGTGTGGTGGTGTAATGCCATCGATGTGTGGTGGTGTAATGCCATCGATGTGTGGTGGTGTAATGCCATCGATGTGTGGTGGTGTAATGCCATCGATGTGTGGTGGTGTAATGCTATCGATGTGTGGTGGTGTAATGCCATCGATGTGTGGTGGTGTAATGCCATCGATGTGTGGTGGTGTAATGCCATCGATGTGTGGTGACACTTGTTGCTGGCAGTTTCAATTCAAGAATGCTGTCGACATAACAGTGTCCATAAAATCCTCATTTGATTTGTCATGTTTGGTGCATACATGTTATATACATTTACGGTGAACATAATTTACATAGGTGGCCAAAAATGTAAGACTGCAGTATATAGTGGATATTTCCACACCGTTACAGACTGCAGTTATTGCATTTGGTTGGCCTAACATAGCATTTAATGCAATAGTATCGGAATATCAATTTTTTACTAGATGGTCTGAAACTTTTGGCCACCACTATAAATCAGGGTGTGGATTGATATTCATTATAGTGGATGCTTCCTAGATTCAGATGGCAGTTATTGCACATCTTTTACAGTGCAGACAAACAGCAGAATTTGTTGGCTGTTGTATGGAGTTTGTGTGTATGTGTGCGGGCGGGCTTGAGTGTGTGGGTGCATGTATGTGTGTGTCAATTTTATGTTCAGTAGTTTATCATTCTTGCTGAATGGCATGATGCTGATACTGTTCTCCGAGTTAGCCGAAGCGGTTTTGCTGCCAGATTGCCTGTACCTGGCTTTGAACTCTGGTGTGTTGAGATTGTCAGTCTTCTAATAATCTCTCAGACACAGATGCAGACATTACAGTACAAACACAGACATTACAGTACAAACACAGACATTACAGTGCAAACACACACACATAATGTCAGTATATAATCAGGTAAGAACAACTTCAAAGTGAGGTTGTACTAGCTCTTAGCTTTTTGGTCCCAAACAAGGCACCATGTGTAAAGCTATTAAACTGTTTAAAGTTGAGAGAGAGGCTGAATTTCATGGTACCAGGTTTTTATCGGTTGTGGCTTGATTTCTCTGCGCAGGGTGGATGTTCTCCAACTTGTATAACTATCTACCTGTTGCCTAACTGCATTCCTTTAATAAAATTTTATTATATTTAAAATTTAGAAGTGTCTGAAATATGTCACTTGTCTTTCTTTTATTCCTTTCTAGTTCTGGTTGCTCCTATGTTCACCGTCCTAATCCAGATCCTGAGTTTTATATGTGCATTTGTTTCACAGATCGGCCTAATTTATATGCAGACTGTTGGTTCCTTGCCACTCAGGCAGATGCACTTAGACTTTGAAGGAAACATCTATAATTAGTGGCCTCCTTCAACATGCTTGTCAGAGAGCAGTGGGTATGTTCTTACCCCCACCTCCCACATGGGGATACCCCCACCTCCCACATGGGGATACCCCCACCTCCCACATGGGGATACCCCCACCTCCCACATGGGGCCTGGAACTCACCCTGGGATTCTTATTTCTTTAACAACTTTTTTCATTTTTAGCTTTTTCAGAAATCTTTGTATTTGGTTGTTGTTTTTTTTTTCATGAAGTACAGCCCATTATTCTGTTTATTTCCATGAAGTACTGTTTATTTAGATCTTCAGGGTCTCGTTTCAGCTCTCCTATTGCTTGTTCATTGTCAGATGTCTGTGCTATATAGAAGTTTGAGTATACATAACATTTGATTGTTAGAATTTTAATTCTATTGTTGATCTCTCTAAACCTGTGATTTTAAACCTTTTATCAGGTGTGCTGCCTTGAATATATGGCAGTGCCCCTCCCTAACTTGAAAAAAATTATTAAAACAAAAATAGACAAAAATAAAAATCTTAAGCACAGTTACCAAGAACTTGGAGAAAAAACATCCACATCACAGTGTCAGATAACATTGTCCTTGGCTTTTTGTTTCATGAATGTTTTGTAAAAATAAATTATTTAGAATAAAACAGGAAACTAATTTAGTTTAACAGATTATTACGAGTACATATGCACTCAAATAAACACCCCCCCCCCCCCCCCCCCCCCCCCCCCCCCCCCCCCCCCCCCCCCATCCATTTTTTCCCACGGGTTGAAAACCACTATAATTTTTTTTAAATATAAGTATCCAGAAACCATGAGTTGTAAACCCTTTGGCTCGGTAATATGGATATCGCAACCCTTCGTTCGGCCTTGATTCCATGATAGATACCATAAATCAGGGAGAAATGTGGCTTTTCTGCCTACCCCCGGGTGTGAACCCAGACCACAAGGAGTTTGTCACCTGGTTGCATCACAGTGGGTTTTAACCAACTGCGCTAGCGAGCTGGGCAAAACCACCATATGCTAATATTTTTCCGATGTTATTGAATTTTTTTACTTTTGACCATTTCTTTCCATTTCACTTCTGCCATCATTTGTTATTACATGTCCAGGACTGGAGACACTTGTAACTTGTTTCTATGAAGAAACAAAACATTTGACTTATATACTCTGCCCATTTCTATGAAGAAACAAGACATTTGACTTATATGCTCTGCCCATTTCTATGAAGAAACAAGACATTTAGACATATACTCTGCCCATTTCTATGAAGAAACAAAACATTTGACTTATATACTCTGCCCATTTCTATGAAGAAACAAAACATTTGACTTATATACTCTGCCCATTTCTATGAAGAAACAAGACATTTAGACATATACTCTGCCCATTTCTATGAAGAAACAAAACATTTGACTTATATGCTCTGCCCATTTTTATGAAGAAACAAAACATTTGACTTATATACTTAGCCCATTTCTATGAAGAAAGACTTATATACTCTGCCCATTTCCAAGAAGAAACAAGACATTTAGACTTTTTTACTTGGCCTATCTGAGAGTTAGGTGGAAATCTCCAGTTTAAAAAATAAAATGACCCTTTTCATGCCATTAGTGCATCAGTTCAGACCTGTGTCGAGACTACCATCTGATAGTGCAGAACAGAGAGCTCATTCACTTAGACATAATGGCAGCAGCGTTAGAGGTCAACCACGCAAGTTATGGATAGAATGGATATCTGAGCTTGTGAATACCAGCATCTATGTAATACACAAAACCAGAATTCTGTCAAGCAAGCCACTTTACCAACATTCTAGCAGTTCACCAGATGATTAATCATGTTTGTGACGTGTTTACATAAGTGTGTATGTGCTCACAAGTGTACATGCATATGAGAGAGAGAGAGAGTTCTTTTAGTTTTTGTGCTGTAACATTATTTCCGCAGAGAAATTGCAAACTTTTTTTTTAAATCCAGGAGTGTAAAAGCAGTTAGAAGGCCTTTTTCATCATCTTTTTTTCCCCAGGTAGCTGGCTGATTCACCTAGGCAGGAGTGCCTCACACAATCATTAATCTTTATAGACATGTACACATGAATGGAAGGTGTCAGTTTATGTGCAGGTGTATTAGGGTTGTAAAACCTGATACACGATTTAAGGGATCTTTGAGTCTCTAGGTGTCCTTTTTTTGTGTGTAATGGTTGAACAGGGTGTTTGGGATGTGCAGCTGTTGAGGTCATGTTGGAATAGTGTATCTTTGAGTCACTGGGTGTTACTTTGTGTGTAATGGTTAAACAGGGTGTTTGGGATGTGCAGCTGTTGAGGTCATGTTGGAATAGTGTATCTTTGAGTCACTGGGTGTTACTTTGTGTGTAATGGTTGAACAGGGTGTATGGGATGTGCAGCTGTTGAGGTCATGTTGGAATCAGGGTGTATTTGTGTTTGAGTCACATGGGAATAGTGTACTTTGAGTCACTGGGTGTTACTTTGTGTGTAATGGTTGAACAGGGTGTATGGGATGTGCAGCTGTTGAGGTCATGTTGGAATAGTGTCATCTTTGAATGTTGAACAGGGTTTATGGGATGTGCAGCTGTTGAGGTCATGTTGGGAATGTGTTCAGTATCTTTAAGTCACTGGGTGTTACTTTGGTGTAATGTGCAGCTGTCTGGGATGTGCAGCTGTTTCATGTTGGAATAGTGTATCTTTGAGTCACTGGGTGTTACTTTGTGTGTAATGGTTGAACAGGGTTGTATGGGATGTGCAGCTGTTGAGGTCATGTTGGAATAGTGTATCTTTGAGTCACTGGGTGTTACTTTGTGTGTAATGGTTGAACAGGGTGTATGGGATGTGCAGCTGTTGAGGTCATGTTGGAAATAGTGTATCTTTGAGTCACTGGGTTACTTTGTGTGTAATGGTTGAACAGGGTGTCTGGGATGTGCAGCTGTTGAGGTCATGTTGGAATAGTGTATCTTTGAGTCACTGGGTGTTACTTTGTGTGTAATGGTTGAACAGGGTTTATGGGATGTGCAGCTGTTGAGGTCATGTTGGAATAGTGTATCTTTGAGTCACTGGGTGTTACTTTGTGTGTAATGGTTGAACAGGGTGTATGGGATGTGCAGCTGTTGAGGTCATGTTGGAATAGTGTATCTTTGAGTCACTGGGTGTTACTTTGTGTGTAATGGTTGAACAGGGTTTATGGGATGT